CTTTTCGATAAACGCATCGGGATAAGCGTTTCTAGTCAAAGATTCTTTCAGCTGTCGTAGTTCGTTGTCAATCATGTCTTCTGTGCAGATATGTCGTGCTGTTTGAAATAGTGTTCGGACCAGACCACGTTCATATTCCACAGACACAAAGCTGTCAAATTGCAAGCATTGGCCTGTCCAAGTTTCTTTTCGGTAAACAGATCTGGCCATTGTTCCATCATTATTCCTAGTGATTTTAATGTCGAGGAAGTGCAGTGTATCTTCGATTTCTGTTTCCATCGTAAATCGTATACTCGGATGCAGGCGATCGAGTTTATCCATAATCCATGTTGTCTCTTCTAGACTTATTGTGATGACTAGAACATGATCAACGTATCGTTTGTAAAGTTGTGAACGTTCGAGGATTTTGCTCGCCTTTTCCTCAAGATGAGCCAAAAACATATGTGCCAGAATGGGGCTCAATGGAGTTCGGATTGCGACACCGTCAATTTGTCTGTAAGCCCAACCAAGGAAGGAGAACGATACGTTTGTTGTGCACAGTAGTAATTGTCGTACCAGAACTGATACTGGTATACCGATTTTCAGTTGGTTTTGCTCCACATGATCACACATGATACGTATGACCTCCCGACCGGGAACATTCGTAAACAGTGATTGGAAATCAAATGAAGCCATGTGCTTCCCTTTCACATTGATCTGGTCCAAAAGCTTTACCACTTCGAAACTGTCTTTTTTATAGTGTGTCTGACCATTGATTTATGAACTGGCTCAAGCAATTTCTCCAGCCATTTGGCCAATTCGTGTTGTGGTGAATTTGTCATAGATAGTAGTAGTATTGGTCCAAGTGGCACTCCGGGTTTGTTTAGTTTCGGTAAACCATACAGTTGTGCACTTCGAGTTCCTTTTGGCTTCAGATGGTGAGCTGTGCTTTCATCGATGAAGTGTCCTTCTAGTAGAAACTGTACTGCTGTCGATATCTGTTGTTCTAGTTCTTTAAGGTCTTCACAGTCATCTTCGAGTACAAACTTGCTGGGATCATGAAGAACACTTTCCATCTTCTTCTCATAATCATTCCGATCGATGAGCACTGCTCCGGACCCCTTGTTAGGGCGTAAAACTAACAAATCAGGTCACAACTGTAGCTCTTCAATGGCGGATGTGAATGTGCTCAGGCGTGAAGAGTGACTTATGTTTGGACGATGTCATCCGGTACTGTCGTTCCAAGTCAACCAGCTTTGCTTTGAACCAAGTCTCCGCATCTTTTGAAGTTCGTTTGACTAATTGTAGTTGTTCGAATAGATATTCAAATTGCGCCTGTGTCTTTATGCTGGTCATTTTACTCGGTGGTATGCAGAAACGTAGACCACACGAAAGAGCCTGTAGTTGAAGTTTATTCGTTTAACCGGAGACAAATTCTTCACAAACCTTTCTGGTTGTTTCGGAAAATTTGGTTCGACTAACTTGTGGACGATGGAATTCTGAAGCTTGTTGAATGTACAAAGTTTGGCTTCTCGTATGTTTTCCATGCACAAGTTGGTAAATTTGATTCGGCTAACGAGGCTCAGTTCGTCAAGAATTATTGATCATTCGATGCACGTGGTCTGAAGTGTCGTTAGATTTTCTTTATAATCATCAATCTGACATCGCATCAAACGTCTCAAATTCCTGGTAGAGGCACAGATTTTATTCCTCCGTAAGCGTTTGCAAAACGTAATCGGATATCTGTTGCAACGGGCACGTTGTTCCAGAAAATGAATACGGACTCGAGTTGTGGCAATTTCACATCTCAATCTGACTAGGTCATCGAGAGACCTAATGGTTGATTTCGGGAGACGAGATCTGAGGAAATTTAAACATGCTTTTCCCGAAATAATCTTGAAAAGAAAAGCCACAGTTGCAACATTGCACGATTCGTGTCCGGGACGATTTCGCTGCATCTGAACATGGTGCACACTGCACAACCATACTGTTTATATAAGTTCATGTAAAACCATAATTTTCGACAAATATAGGGGAAATTTCAATAGTCAAGTTACGTCACCATGATAAAGACACATGAACAAAGAGCTGTTTGTGCTGACACAATATTAGGTTTCCATGAATGTATGGCAATGGTTTGAACAAACCTCAAAAGCCTGGTATTCTTTGCCACGTAAATGACCCGAAACGCAGTGCTTCGGTCAGCTGGATGTTGCGTCATCAGAAGATGACGAGCGACGGCCGACGGCCGACGGCCGACAGCCGACGACGGGATCTTATGGTTTCGAACGTTGTCATTATGCCTTTGATCTGACCCTGATTGCATCACAAAACGTTGTACCCAATTTGGAATATATTCAATCACTCGGTTACGTCACTGGCGCTCTGTTCGACCCACGTACGTTGCTCCGCAACTACACTGAAATTGGTAAATCAGATTCGATTTGGTGTACAGAGGTGGACGTTGTTTCACCGAGGGTGTGGGGATCTCAATCGTTCGATGAATAATTCTGAGGTCAGGTGCATAATATTTGTTTTGGGCAAGCGCTGATCCAAGTGGTCGTTTGAGCAAGCAATTGATGTCATCACGTATGAATGGAAGACAAATGGTGACTAGTAGTTTTTCTGCTGAACAATTCGTTTGTCTGATCAATTTAGGCTTGCTGTGCTTTTCGATAAACGCATCGGGATAAGCGTTTCTAGTCAAAGATTCTTTCAGCTGTCGTAGTTCGTTGTCAATCATGTCTTCTGTGCAGATATGTCGTGCTGTTTGAAATAGTGTTCGGACCAGACCACGTTCATATTCCACAGACACAAAGCTGTCAAATTGCAAGCATTGGCCTGTCCAAGTTTCTTTTCGGTAAACAGATCTGGCCATTGTTCCATCATTATTCCTAGTCATTTTAATGTCGAGGAAGTGCAGTGTATCTTCGATTTCTGTTTCCATCGTAAATCGTATATTCGGATGCAGGCGATCGAGTTTATCCATAATCCATGTTGTCTCTTCTAGACTTATTGTGATGACTAGAACATGATCAACGTATCGTTTGTAAAGTTGTGAACGTTCGAGGATTTTGCTCGCCTTTTCCTCAAGATGAGCCAAAAACATATGTGCCAGAATGGGGCTCAATGGAGTTCGGATTGCGACACCGTCAATTTGTCTGTAAGCCCAACCAAGGAAGGAGAACGATACGTTTGTTGTGCACAGTAGTAATTGTCGTACCAGAACTGATACTGGTATACCGATTTTCAGTTGGTTTTGCTCCACATGATCACACATGATACGTATGACCTCCCGACCGGGAACATTCGTAAACAGTGATTGGAAATCAAATGAAGCCATGTGCTTCCCTTTCACATTGATCTGGTCCAAAAGCTTTACCACTTCGAAACTGTCTTTTTTATAGTGTGTCTGACCATTGATTTATGAACTGGCTCAAGCAATTTCTCCAGCCATTTGGCCAATTCGTGTTGTGGTGAATTTGTCATAGATAGTAGTAGTATTGGTCCAAGTGGCACTCCGGGTTTGTTTAGTTTCGGTAAACCATACAGTTGTGCACTTCGAGTTCTTTTTGGCTTCAGATGGTGAGCTGTGCTTTCATCGATGAAGTGTCCTTCTAGTAGAAACTGTACTGCTGTCGATATCTGTTGTTCTAGTTCTTTAGGGTCTTCACAGTCATCTTCGAGTACAAACTTGCTGGGATCATGAAGAACACTTTCCATCTTCTTCTCATAATCATTCCGATCGATGAGCACTGCTCCGGACCCCTTGTTAGGGCGTAAAACTAACAAATCAGGTCACAACTGTAGCTCTTCAATGGCGGATGTGAATGTGCTCAGGCGTGAAGAGTGACTTATGTTTGGACGATGTCATCCGGTACTGTCGTTCCAAGTCAACCAGCTTTGCTTTGAACCAAGTCTCCGCATCTTTTGAAGTTCGTTTGACTAATTGTAGTTGTTCGAATAGATATTCAAATTGCGCCTGTGTCTTTATGCTGGTCATTTTACTCGGTGGTATGCAGAAACGTAGACCACACGAAAGAGCCTGTAGTTGAAGTTCATTCGTTTAACCGGAGACAAATTCTTCACAAACCTTTCTGGTTGTTTCGGAAAATTTGGTTCGACTAACTTGTGGACGATGGAATTCTGAAGCTTGTTGAATGTACAAAGTTTGGCTTCTCGTATGTTTTCCATGCACAAGTTGGTAAATTTGATTCGGCTAACGAGGCTCAGTTCGTCAAGAATTATTGATCATTCGATGCACGTGGTCTGAAGTGTCGTTAGATTTTCTTTATAATCATCAATCTGACATCGCATCAAACGTCTCAAATTCCTGGTAGAGGCACAGATTTTATTCCTCCGTAAGCGTTTGCAAAACGTAATCGGATATCTGTTGCAACGGGCACGTTGTTCCAGAAAATGAATACGGACTCGAGTTGTGGCAATTTCACATCTCAATCTGACTAGGTCATCGAGAGACCTAATGGTTGATTTCGGGAGACGAGATCTGAGGAAATTTAAACATGCTTTTCCCGAAATAATCTTGAAAAGAAAAGCCACAGTTGCAACATTGCACGATTCGTGTCCGGGACGATTTCGCTGCATCTGAACATGGTGCACACTGCACAACCATACTGTTTATATAAGTTCATGTAAAACCATAATTTTCGACAAATATAGGGGAAATTTCAATAGTCAAGTTACGTCACCATGATAAAGACACATGAACAAAGAGCTGTTTGTGCTGACACAATATTAGGTTTCCATGAATGTATGGCAATGGTTTGAACAAACCTCAAAAGCCTGGTATTCTTTGCCACGTAAATGACCCGAAACGCAGTGCTTCGGTCAGCTGGATGTTGCGTCATCAGAAGATGACGAGCGACGGCCGACGGCCGACGGCCGACAGCCGACCACGGGATCTTATGGTTTCGAACGTTGTCATTATGCCTTTGATCTGACCCTGATTGCATCACAAAACGTTGTACCCAATTTGGAATATATTCAATCACTCGGTTACGTCACTGGCGCTCTGTTCGACCCACGTAGGTTGCTCCGCAACTACACTGAAATTGGTAAATCAGATTCGATTTGGTGTACAGAGGTGGACGTTGTTTCACCGAGGGTGTGGGGATCTCAATCGTTCGATGAATAATTCTGAGGTCAGGTGCATAATATTTGTTTTGGGCAAGCGCTGATCCAAGTGGTCGTTTGAGCAAGCAATTGATGTCATCACGTATGAATGGAAGACAAATGGTGACTAGTAGTTTTTCTGCTGAACAATTCGTTTGTCTGATCAATTTAGGCTTGCTGTGCTTTTCGATAAACGCATCGGGATAAGCGTTTCTAGTCAAAGATTCTTTCAGCTGTCGTAGTTCGTTGTCAATCATGTCTTCTGTGCAGATATGTCGTGCTGTTTGAAATAGTGTTCGGACCAGACCACGTTCATATTCCACAGACACAAAGCTGTCAAATTGCAAGCATTGGCCTGTCCAAGTTTCTTTTCGGTAAACAGATCTGGCCATTGTTCCATCATTATTCCTAGTCATTTTAATGTCGAGGAAGTGCAGTGTATCTTCGATTTCTGTTTCCATCGTAAATCGTATATTCGGATGCAGGCGATCGAGTTTATCCATAATCCATGTTGTCTCTTCTAGACTTATTGTGATGACTAGAACATGATCAACGTATCGTTTGTAAAGTTGTGAACGTTCGAGGATTTTGCTCGCCTTTTCCTCAAGATGAGCCAAAAACATATGTGCCAGAATGGGGCTCAATGGAGTTCGGATTGCGACACCGTCAATTTGTCTGTAAGCCCAACCAAGGAAGGAGAACGATACGTTTGTTGTGCACAGTAGTAATTGTCGTACCAGAACTGATACTGGTATACCGATTTTCAGTTGGTTTTGCTCCACATGATCACACATGATACGTATGACCTCCCGACCGGGAACATTCGTAAACAGTGATTGGAAATCAAATGAAGCCATGTGCTTCCCTTTCACATTGATCTGGTCCAAAAGCTTTACCACTTCGAAACTGTCTTTTTTATAGTGTGTCTGACCATTGATTTATGAACTGGCTCAAGCAATTTCTCCAGCCATTTGGCCAATTCGTGTTGTGGTGAATTTGTCATAGATAGTAGTAGTATTGGTCCAAGTGGCACTCCGGGTTTGTTTAGTTTCGGTAAACCATACAGTTGTGCACTTCGAGTTCCTTTTGGCTTCAGATGGTGAGCTGTGCTTTCATCGATGAAGTGTCCTTCTAGTAGAAACTGTACTGCTGTCGATATCTGTTGTTCTAGTTCTTTAGGGTCTTCACAGTCATCTTCGAGTACAAACTTGCTGGGATCATGAAGAACACTTTCCATCTTCTTCTCATAATCATTCCGATCGATCAGCACTGCTCCGGACCCCTTGTTAGGGCGTAAAACTAACAAATCAGGTCACAACTGTAGCTCTTCAATGGCGGATGTGAATGTGCTCAGGCGTGAAGAGTGACTTATGTTTGGACGATGTCATCCGGTACTGTCGTTCCAAGTCAACCAGCTTTGCTTTGAACCAAGTCTCCGCATCTTTTGAAGTTCGTTTGACTAATTGTAGTTGTTCGAATAGATATTCAAATTGCGCCTGTGTCTTTATGCTGGTCATTTTACTCGGTGGTATGCAGAAACGTAGACCACACGAAAGAGCCTGTAGTTGAAGTTCATTCGTTTAACCGGAGACAAATTCTTCACAAACCTTTCTGGTTGTTTCGGAAAATTTGGTTCGACTAACTTGTGGACGATGGAATTCTGAAGCTTGTTGAATGTACAAAGTTTGGCTTCTCGTATGTTTTCCATGCACAAGTTGGTAAATTTGATTCGGCTAACGAGGCTCAGTTCGTCAAGAATTATTGATCATTCGATGCACGTGGTCTGAAGTGTCGTTAGATTTTCTTTATAATCATCAATCTGACATCGCATCAAACGTCTCAAATTCCTGGTAGAGGCACAGATTTTATTCCTCCGTAAGCGTTTGCAAAACGTAATCGGATATCTGTTGCAACGGGCACGTTGTTCCAGAAAATGAATACGGACTCAAGTTGTGGCAATTTCACATCTCAATCTGACTAGGTCATCGAGAGACCTAATGGTTGATTTCGGGAGACGAGATCTGAGGAAATTTAAACATGCTTTTCCCGAAATAATCTTGAAAAGAAAAGCCACAGTTGCAACATTGCACGATTCGTGTCCGGGACGATTTCGCTGCATCTGAACATGGTGCACACTGCACAACCATACTGTTTATATAAGTTCATGTAAAACCATAATTTTCGACAAATATAGGGGAAATTTCAATAGTCAAGTTACGTCACCATGATAAAGACACATGAACAAAGAGCTGTTTGTGCTGACACAATATTAGGTTTCCATGAATGTATGGCAATGGTTTGAACAAACCTCAAAAGCCTGGTATTCTTTGCCACGTAAATGACCCGAAACGCAGTGCTTCGGTCAGCTGGATGTTGCGTCATCAGAAGATGACGAGCGACGGCCGACGGCCGACGGCCGACAGCCGACGACGGGATCTTATGGTTTCGAACGTTGTCATTATGCCTTTGATCTGACCCTGATTGCATCACAAAACGTTGTACCCAATTTGGAATATATTCAATCACTCGGTTACGTCACTGGCGCTCTGTTCGACCCACGTACGTTGCTCCGCAACTACACTGAAATTGGTAAATCAGATTCGATTTGGTGTACAGAGGTGGACGTTGTTTCACCGAGGGTGTGGGGATCTCAATCGTTCGATGAATAATTCTGAGGTCAGGTGCATAATATTTGTTTTGGGCAAGCGCTGATCCAAGTGGTCGTTTGAGCAAGCAATTGATGTCATCACGTATGAATGGAAGACAAATGGTGACTAGTAGTTTTTCTGCTGAACAATTCGTTTGTCTGATCAATTTAGGCTTGCTGTGCTTTTCGATAAACGCATCGGGATAAGCGTTTCTAGTCAAAGATTCTTTCAGCTGTCGTAGTTCGTTGTCAATCATGTCTTCTGTGCAGATATGTCGTGCTGTTTGAAATAGTGTTCGGACCAGACCACGTTCATATTCCACAGACACAAAGCTGTCAAATTGCAAGCATTGGCCTGTCCAAGTTTCTTTTCGGTAAACAGATCTGGCCATTGTTCCATCATTATTCCTAGTCATTTTAATGTCGAGGAAGTGCAGTGTATCTTCGATTTCTGTTTCCATCGTAAATCGTATATTCGGATGCAGGCGATCGAGTTTATCCATAATCCATGTTGTCTCTTCTAGACTTATTGTGATGACTAGAACATGATCAACGTATCGTTTGTAAAGTTGTGAACGTTCGACGATTTTGCTCGCCTTTTCCTCAAGATGAGCCAAAAACATATGTGCCAGAATGGGGCTCAATGGAGTTCGGATTGCGACACCGTCAATTTGTCTGTAAGCCCAACCAAGGAAGGAGAACGATACGTTTGTTGTGCACAGTAGTAATTGTCGTACCAGAACTGATACTGGTATACCGATTTTCAGTTGGTTTTGCTCCACATGATCACACATGATACGTATGACCTCCCGACCGGGAACATTCGTAAACAGTGATTGGAAATCAAATGAAGCCATGTGCTTCCCTTTCACATTGATCTGGTCCAAAAGCTTTACCACTTCGAAACTGTCTTTTTTATAGTGTGTCTGACCATTGATTTATGAACTGGCTCAAGCACTTTCTCCAGCCATTTGGCCAATTCGTGTTGTGGTGAATTTGTCATAGATAGTAGTAGTATTGGTCCAAGTGGCACTCCGGGTTTGTTTAGTTTCGGTAAACCATACAGTTGTGCACTTCGAGTTCCTTTTGGCTTCAGATGGTGAGCTGTGCTTTCATCGATGAAGTGTCCTTCTAGTAGAAACTGTACTGCTGTCGATATCTGTTGTTCTAGTTCTTTAGGGTCTTCACAGTCATCTTCGAGTACAAACTTGCTGGGATCATGAAGAACACTTTCCATCTTCTTCTCATAATCATTCCGATCGATGAGCACTGCTCCGGACCCCTTGTTAGGGCGTAAAACTAACAAATCAGGTCACAACTGTAGCTCTTCAATGGCGGATGTGAATGTGCTCAGGCGTGAAGAGTGACTTATGTTTGGACGATGTCATCCGGTACTGTCGTTCCAAGTCAACCAGCTTTGCTTTGAACCAAGTCACCGCATCTTTTGAAGTTCGTTTGAGTAATTGTAGTTGTTCGAATAGATATTCAAATTGCGTCTGTGTCTTTATGCTGGTCATTTTACTCGGTGGTATGCAGAAACGTAGACCACACGAAAGAGCCTGTAGTTGAAGTTCATTCGTTTAACCGGAGACAAATTCTTCACAAACCTTTCTGGTTGTTTCGGAAAATTTGGTTCGACTAACTTGTGGACGATGGAATTCTGAAGCTTGTTGAATGTACAAAGTTTGGCTTCTCGTATGTTTTCCATGCACAAGTTGGTAAATTTGATTCGGCTAACGAGGCTCAGTTCGTCAAGAATTATTGATCATTCGATGCACGTGGTCTTAAGTGTCGTTAGATTTTCTTTATAATCATCAATCTGACATCGCATCAAACGTCTCAAATTCCTGGTAGAGGCACAGATTTTATTCCACTGTAAGCGTTTGCAAAACGTAATCGGATATCTGTTGCAACGGGCACGTTGTTCCAGAAAATGAATACGGACTCGAGTTGTGGCAATTTCACATCTCAATCTGACTAGGTCATCGAGAGACCTAATGGTTGATTTCGGGAGACGAGATCTGAGGAAATTTAAACATGCTTTTCCCGAAATAATCTTGAAAAGAAAAGCCACAGTTGCAACATTGCACGATTCGTGTCCGGGACGATTTCGCTGCATCTGAACATGGTGCACACTGCACAACCATACTGTTTATATAAGTTCATGTAAAACCATAATTTTCGACAAATATAGGGGAAATTTCAATAGTCAAGTTACGTCACCATGATAAAGACACATGAACAAAGAGCTGTTTGTGCTGACACAATATTAGGTTTCCATGAATGTATGGCAATGGTTTGAACAAACCTCAAAAGCCTGGTATTCTTTGCCACGTAAATGACCCGAAACGCAGTGCTTCGGTCAGCTGGATGTTGCGTCATCAGAAGATGACGAGCGACGGCCGACGGCCGACGGCCGACAGCCGACCACGGGATCTTATGGTTTCGAACGTTGTCATTATGCCTTTGATCTGACCCTGATTGCATCACAAAACGTTGTACCCAATTTGGAATATATTCAATCACTCGGTTACGTCACTGGCGCTCTGTTCGACCCACGTACGTTGCTCCGCAACTACACTGAAATTGGTAAATCAGATTCGATTTGGTGTACAGAGGTGGACGTTGTTTCACCGAGGGTGTGGGGATCTCAATCGTTCGATGAATAATTCTGAGGTCAGGTGCATAATATTTGTTTTGGGCAAGCGCTGATCCAAGTGGTCGTTTGAGCAAGCAATTGATGTCATCACGTATGAATGGAAGACAAATGGTGACTAGTAGTTTTTCTGCTGAACAATTCGTTTGTCTGATCAATTTAGGCTTGCTGTGCTTTTCGATAAACGCATCGGGATAAGCGTTTCTAGTCAAAGATTCTTTCAGCTGTCGTAGTTCGTTGTCAATCATGTCTTCTGTGCAGATATGTCGTGCTGTTTGAAATAGTGTTCGGACCAGACCACGTTCATATTCCACAGACACAAAGCTGTCAAATTGCAAGCATTGGCCTGTCCAAGTTTCTTTTCGGTAAACAGATCTGGCCATTGTTCCATCATTATTCCTAGTCATTTTAATGTCGAGGAAGTGCAGTGTATCTTCGATTTCTGTTTCCATCGTAAATCGTATATTCGGATGCAGGCGATCGAGTTTATCCATAATCCATGTTGTCTCTTCTAGACTTATTGTGATGACTAGAACATGATCAACGTATCGTTTGTAAAGTTGTGAACGTTCGAGGATTTTGCTCGCCTTTTCCTCAAGATGAGCCAAAAACATATGTGCCAGAATGGGGCTCAATGGAGTTCGGATTGCGACACCGTCAATTTGTCTGTAAGCCCAACCAAGGAAGGAGAACGATACGTTTGTTGTGCACAGTAGTAATTGTCGTACCAGAACTGATACTGGTATACCGATTTTCAGTTGGTTTTGCTCCACATGATCACACATGATACGTATGACCTCCCGACCGGGAACATTCGTAAACAGTGATTGGAAATCAAATGAAGCCATGTGCTTCCCTTTCACATTGATCTGGTCCAAAAGCTTTACCACTTCGAAACTGTCTTTTTTATAGTGTGTCTGACCATTGATTTATGAACTGGGTCAAGCAATTTCTCCAGCCATTTGGCCAATTCGTGTTGTGGTGAATTTGTCATAGATAGTAGTAGTATTGGTCCAAGTGGCACTCCGGGTTTGTTTAGTTTCGGTAAACCATACAGTTGTGCACTTCGAGTTCCTTTTGGCTTCAGATGGTGAGCTGTGCTTTCATCGATGAAGTGTCCTTCTAGTAGAAACTGTACTGCTGTCGATATCTGTTGTTCTAGTTCTTTAGGGTCTTCACAGTCATCTTCGAGTACAAACTTGCTGGGATCATGAAGAACACTTTCCATCTTCTTCTCATAATCATTCCGATCGATCAGCACTGCTCCGGACCCCTTGTTAGGGCGTAAAACTAACAAATCAGGTCACAACTGTAGCTCTTCAATGGCGGATGTGAATGTGCTCAGGCGTGAAGAGTGACTTATGTTTGGACGATGTCATCCGGTACTGTCGTTCCAAGTCAACCAGCTTTGCTTTGAACCAAGTCTCCGCATCTTTTGAAGTTCGTTTGACTAATTGTAGTTGTTCGAATAGATATTCAAATTGCGTCTGTGTCTTTATGCTGGTCATTTTACTCGGTGGTATGCAGAAACGTAGACCACACGAAAGAGCCTGTAGTTGAAGTTCATTCGTTCAACCGGAGACAAATTCTTCACAAACCTTTCTGGTTGTTTCGGAAAATTTGGTTCGACTAACTTGTGGACGATGGAATTCTGAAGCTTGTTGAATGTACAAAGTTTGGCTTCTCGTATGTTTTCCATGCACAAGTTGGTGAATTTGATTCGGCTAACGAGGCTCAGTTCGTCAAGAATTATTGATCATTCGATGCACGTGGTCTTAAGTGTCGTTAGATTTTCTTTATAATCATCAATCTGACATCGCATCAAACGTCTCAAATTCCTGGTAGAGGCACAGATTTTATTCCTCCGTAAGCGTTTGCAAAACGTAATCGGATATCTGTTGCAACGGGCACGTTGTTCCAGAAAATGAATACGGACTCGAGTTGTGGCAATTTCACATCTCAATCTGACTAGGTCATCGAGAGACCTAATGGTTGATTTCGGGAGACGAGATTTGAGGAAATTTAAACATGCTTTTCCCGAAATAATCTTGAAAAGAAAAGCCACAGTTGCAACATTGCACGATTCGTGTCCGGGACGATTTCGCTGCATCTGAACATGGTGCACACTGCACAACCATACTGTTTATATAAGTTCATGTAAAACCATAATTTTCGACAAATATAGGGGAAATTTTAATAGTCAAGTTACGTCACCATGATAAAGACACATGAACAAAGAGCTGTTTGTGCTGACACAATATTAGGTTTCCACGAATGTATGGCAATGGTTTGAACAAACCTCAAAAGCCTGGTATTCTTTGCCACGTAAATGACCCGAAACGCAGTGCTTCGGTCAGCTGGATGTTGCGTCATCAGAAGATGACGAGCGACGGCCGACGGCCGACGGCCGACAGCCGACGACGGGATCTTATGGTTTCGAACGTTGTCATTATGCCTTTGATCTGACCCTGATTGCATCACAAAACGTTGTACCCAATTTGGAATATATTCAATCACTCGGTTACGTCACTGGCGCTCTGTTCGACCCACGTACGTTGCTCCGCAACTACACTGAAATTGGTAAATCAGATTCGATTTGGTGTACAGAGGTGGACGTTGTTTCACCGAGGGTGTGGGGATCTCAATCGTTCGATGAATAATTCTGAGGTCAGGTGCATAATATTTGTTTTGGGCAAGCGCTGATCCAAGTGGTCGTTTGAGCAAGCAATTGATGTCATCACGTATGAATGGAAGACAAATGGTGACTAGTAGTTTTTCTGCTGAACAATTCGTTTGTCTGATCAATTTAGGCTTGCTGTGCTTTTCGATAAACGCATCGGGATAAGCGTTTCTAGTCAAAGATTCTTTCAGCTGTCGTAGTTCGTTGTCAATCATGTCTTCTGTGCAGATATGTCGTGCTGTTTGAAATAGTGTTCGGACCAGACCACGTTCATATTCCACAGACACAAAGCTGTCAAATTGCAAGCATTGGCCTGTCCAAGTTTCTTTTCGGTAAACAGATCTGGCCATTGTTCCATCATTATTCCTAGTCATTTTAATGTCGAGGAAGTGCAGTGTATCTTCGATTTCTGTTTCCATCGTAAATCGTATATTCGGATGCAGGCGATCGAGTTTATCCATAATCCATGTTGTCTCTTCTAGACTTATTGTGATGACTAGAATATGATCAACGTATCGTTTGTAAAATTGTGAACGTTCGAGGATTTTGCTCGCTTTTTCCTCAAAATGAGCCAAAAACATATGTGCCAGAATGGGGCTCAATGGAGTTCCGATTGCGACACCGTCAATTTGTCTGTAAGCCCAACCAAGGAAGGAGAACGATACGTTTGTTGTGCACAGTAGTAATTGTCGTACCAGAACTGATACTGGTATACCGATTTTCAGTTGGTTTTGCTCCACATGATCACACATGATACGTATGACCTCCCGACCGGGAACATTCATAAACAGTGATTGGAAATCAAATGAAGCCATGTGCTTCCCTTTCACATTGATCTGGTCCAAAAGCTTTACCACTTCGAAACTGTCTTTTTTATAGTGTGTCTGACCATTGATTTATGAACTGGCTCAAGCAATTTCTCCAGCCATTTGGCCAATTCGTGTTGTGGTGAATTTGTCATAGATAGTAGTAGTATTGGTCCAAGTGGCACTCCGGGTTTGTTTAGTTTCGGTAAACCATACAGTTGTGCACTTCGAGTTCCTTTTGGCTTCAGATGGTGAGCTGTGCTTTCATCGATGAAGTGTCCTTCTAGTAGAAACTGTACTGCGGTCGATATCTGTTGTTCTAGTTCTTTAGGGTCTTCACAGTCATCTTCGAGTACAAACTCGCTGGGAACATGAAGAACACTTTCCATCTTCTTCTCATAATCATTCCGATCGATCAGCACTGCTCCGGACCCCTTGCTAGGGCGTAAAACTAACAAATTAGGTCACAACTGTAGCTCTTCAATGGCGGATGTGAATGTGCTCAGGCGTGAAGAGTGACTTATGTTTGGACGATGTCATCCGGTACTGTCGTTCCAAGTCAACCAGCTTTGCTTTGAACCAAGTCTCCGCATCTTTTGAAGTTCGTTTGACTAATTGTAGTTGTTCGAATAGATATTCAAATTGCGGCTGTGTCTTTATGCTGGTCATTTTACTCGGTGGTATGCAGAAACGTAGACCACACGAAAGAGCCTGTAGTTGAAGTTCATTCGTTTAACCGGAGACAAATTCTTCACAAACCTTTCTGGTTGTTTCGGAAAATTTGGTTCGACTAACTTGTGGACGATGGAATTCTGAAGCTTGTTGAATGTACAAAGTTTGGCTTCTCTTATGTTTTCCATGCACAAGTTGGTAAATTTGATTCGGCTAACGAGGCTCAGTTCGTCAAGAATTATTGATCATTCGATGCACGTGGTCTGAAGTGTCGTTAGATTTTCCTTATAATCATCAATCTGACATCGCATCAAACGTCTCAAATTCCTGGTAGAGGCACAGATTTTATTCCTCCGTAAGCGTTTGCAAAACGTAATCGGATATCTGTTGCAACGGGCACGTTGTTCCAGAAAATGAATACGGACTCGAGTTGTGGCAATTTCACATCTCAATCTGACTAGGTCATCGAGAGACCTAATGGTTGATTTCGGGAGACGAGATCTGAGGAAATTTAAACATGCTTTTCCCGAAATAATCTTGAAAAGAAAAGCCACAGTTGCAACATTGCACGATTCGTGTCCGGGACGATTTCGCTGCATCTGAACATGGTGCACACTGCACAACCATACTGTTTATATAAGTTCATGTAAAACCATAATTTTCGACAAATATAGGGGAAATTTCAATAGTCAAGTTACGTCACCATGATAAAGACACATGAACAAAGAGCTGTTTGTGCTGACACAATATTAGGTTTCCATGAATGTATGGCAATGGTTTGAACAAACCTCAAAAGCCTGGTATTCTTTGCCACGTAAATGACCCGAAACGCAGTGCTTCGGTCAGCTGGATGTTGCGTCATCAGAAGATGACGAGCGACGGCCGACGGCCGACGGCCGACAGCCGACGACGGGATCTTATGATTTCGAACGTTGTCATTATGCCTTTGATCTGACCCCGATTGCATCACAAAACGTGTTACCCAATTTGGAATATATTCAATCACTCGGTTACGTCACTGGCGCTCTGTTCGACCCACGTACGTTGCTCCGCAACTACACTGAAATTGGTAAATCAGATTCGATTTGGTGTACAGAGGTGGACGTTGTTTCACCGAGGGTGTGGGGATCTCAATCGTTCGATGAATAATTCTGAGGTCAGGTGCATAATATTTGTTTTGGGCAAGCGCTGATCCAAGTGGTCGTTTGAGCAAGCAATTGATGTCATCACGTATGAATGGAAGACAAATGGTGACTAGTAGTTTTTCTGCTGAACAATTCGTTTGTCTGATCAATTTAGGCTTGCTGTGCTTTTCGATAAACGCATCGGGATAAGCGTTTCTAGTCAAAGATTCTTTCAGCTGTCGTAGTTCGTTGTCAATCATGTCTTCTGTGCAGATATGTCGTGCTGTTTGAAATAGTGTTCGGACCAGACCACGTTCATATTCCACAGACACAAAGCTGTCAAATTGCAAGCATTGGCCTGTCCAAGTTTCTTTTCGGTAAACAGATCTGGCCATTGTTCCATCATTATTCCTAGTCATTTTAATGTCGAGGAAGTGCAGTGTATCTTCGATTTCTGTTTCCATCGTAAATCGTATATTCGGATGCAGGCGATCGAGTTTATCCATAATCCATGTTGTCTCTTCTAGACTTATTGTGATGACTAGAACATGATCAACGTATCGTTTGTAAAGTTGTGAACGTTCGAGGATTTTGCTCGCCTTTTCCTCAAGATGAGCCAAAAACATATGTGCCAGAATGGGGCTCAATGGAGTTCGGATTGCGACACCGTCAATTTGTCTGTAAGCCCAACCAAGGAAGGAGAACGATACGTTTGTTGTGCACAGTAGTAATTGTCGTACCAGAACTGATACTGGTATACCGATTTTCAGTTGGTTTTGCTCCACATGATCACACATGATACGTATGACCTCCCGACCGGGAACATTCATAAACAGTGATTGGAAATCAAATGAAGCCATGTGCTTCCCTTTCACATTGATCTGGTCCAAAAGCTTTACCACTTCGAAACTGTCTTTTTTATAGTGTGTCTGACCATTGATTTATGAACTGGCTCAAGCACTTTCTCCAGCCATTTGGCCAATTCGTGTTGTGGTGAATTTGTCATAGATAGTAGTAGTATTGGTCCAAGTGGCACTCCGGGTTTGTTTAGTTTCGGTAAACCATACAGTTGTGCACTTCGAGTTCCTTTTGGCTTCAGATGGTGAGCTGTGCTTTCGTCGATGAAGTGTCCTTCTAGTAGAAACTGTACTGCTGTCGATATCTGTTGTTCTAGTTCTTTAGGGTCTTCACAGTCATCTTCGAGTACAAACTTGCTGGGATCATGAAGAACACTTTCCATCTTCTTCTCATAATCATTCCGATCGATGAGCACTGCTCCGGACCCCTTGTTAGGGCGTAAAACTAACAAATCAGGTCACAACTGTAGCTCTTCAATGGCGGATGTGAATGTGCTCAGGCGTGAAGAGTGACTTATGTTTGGACGATGTCATCCGGTACTGTCGTTCCAAGTCAACCAGCTTTGCTTTGAACCAAGTCTCCGCATCTTTTGAAGTTCGTTTGACTAATTGTAGTTGTTCGAATAGATATTCAAATTGCGCCTGTGTCTTTATGCTGGTCATTTTACTCGGTGGTATGCAGAAACGTAGACCACACGAAAGAGCCTGTAGTTGAAGTTTATTCGTTTAACCGGAGACAAATTCTTCACAAACCTTTCTGGTTGTTTCGGAAAATTTGGTTCGACTAACTTGTGGACGATGGAATTCTGAAGCTTGTTGAATGTACAAAGTTTGGCTTCTCGTATGTTTTCCATGCACAAGTTGGTAAATTTGATTCGGCTAACGAGGCTCAGTTCGTCAAGAATTATTGATCATTCGATGCACGTGGTCTGAAGTGTCGTTAGATTTTCTTTATAATCATCAATCTGACATCGCATCAAACGTCTCAAATTCCTGGTAGAGGCACAGATTTTATTCCTCCGTAAGCGTTTGCAAAACGTAATCGGATATCTGTTGCAACGGGCACGTTGTTCCAGAAAAGGAATACGGACTCGAGTTGTGGCAATTTCACATCTCAATCTGACTAGGTCATCGAGAGACCTAATGGTTGATTTCGGGAGACGAGATCTGAGGAAATTTAAACATGCTTTTCCCGAAATAGTCTTGAAAAGAAAAGCCACAGTTGCAACATTGCACGATTCGTGTCCGGGACGATTTCGCTGCATCTGAACATGGTGCACACTGCACAACCATACTGTTTATATAAGTTCATGTAAAACCATAATTTTCGACAAATATAGGGGAAATTTCAATAGTCAAGTTACGTCACCATGATAAAGACACATGAACAAAGAGCTGTTTGTGCTGACACAATATTAGGTTTCCATGAATGTATGGGAATGGTTTGAACAAACCTCAAAAGCCTGGTATTCTTTGCCACGTTAATGACCCGAAACGCAGTGCTTCGGTCAGCTGGATGTTGCGTCATCAGAAGATGACGAGCGACGGCCGACGGCCGACGGCCGACAGCCGACCACGGGATCTTATGGTTTCGAACGTTGTCATTATGCCTTTGATCTGACCCTGATTGCATCACAAAACGTTGTACCCAATTTGGAATATATTCAATCACTCGGTTACGTCACTGGCGCTCTGTTCGACCCACGTACGTTGCTCCGCAACTACACTGAAATTGGTAAATCAGATTCGATTTGGTGTACAGAGGTGGACGTTGTTTCACCGAGGGTGTGGGGATCTCAATCGTTCGATGAATAATTCTGAGGTCAGGTGCATAATATTTGTTTTGGGCAAGCGCTGATCCAAGTGGTCGTTTGAGCAAGCAATTGATGTCATCACGTATGAATGGAAGACAAATGGTGACTAGTAGTTTTTCTGCTGAACAATTCGTTTGTCTGATCAATTTAGGCTTGCTGTGCTTTTCGATAAACGCATCGGTATAAGCGTTTCTAGTCAAAGATTCTTTCAGCTGTCGTAGTTCGTTGTCAATCATGTCTTCTGTGCAGATATGTCGTGCTGTTTGAAATAGTGTTCGGACCAGACCACGTTCATATTCCACAGACACAAAGCTGTCAAATTGCAAGCATTGGCCTGTCCAAGTTTCTTTTCGGTAAACAGATCTGGCCATTGTTCCATCATTATTCCTAGTCATTTTAATGTCGAGGAAGTGCAGTGTATCTTCGATTTCTGTTTCCATCGTAAATCGTATATTCGGGTGCAGGCGATCGAGTTTATCCATAATCCATGTTGTCTCTTCTAGACTTATTGTGATGACTAGAACATGATCAACGTATCGTTTGTAAAGTTGTGAACGTTCGAGGATTTTGCTCGCCTTTTCCTCAAGATGAGCCAAAAACATATGTGCCAGAATGGGGCTCAATGGAGTTCGGATTGCGACACCGTCAATTTGTCTGTAAGCCCAACCAAGGAAGGAGAACGATACGTTTGTTGTGCACAGTAGTAATTGTCGTACCAGAACTGATACTGGTATACCGATTTTCAGTTCGTTTTGCTCCACATGATCACACATGATACGTATGACCTCCCGACCGGGAACATTCGTAAACAGTGATTGGAAATCAAATGAAGCCATGTGCTTCCCTTTCACATTGATCTGGTCCAAAAGCTTTACCACTTCGAAACTGTCTTTTTTATAGTGTGTCTGACCATTGATTTATGAACTGGCTCAAGCAATTTCTCCAGCCATTTGGCCAATTCGTGTTGTGGTGAATTTGTCATAGATAGTAGTAGTATTGGTCCAAGTGGCACTCCGGGTTTGTTTAGTTTCGGTAAACCATACAGTTGTGCACTTCGAGTTCCTTTTGGCTTCAGATGGTGAGCTGTGCTTTCATCGATGAAGTGTCCTTCTAGTAGAAACTGTACTGCTGTCGATATCTGTTGTTCTAGTTCTTTAGGGTCTTCACAGTCATCTTCGAGTACAAACTTGCTGGGATCATGAAGAACACTTTCCATCTTCTTCTCATAATCATTCCGATCGATGAGCACTGCTCCGGACCCCTTGTTAGGGCGTAAAACTAACAAATCAGGTCACAACTGTAGCTCTTCAATGGCGGATGTGAATGTGCTCAGGCGTGAAGAGTGACTTATGTTTGGACGATGTCATCCGGTACTGTCGTTCCAAGTCAACCAGCTTTGCTTTGAACCAAGTCTCCGCATCTTTTGAAGTTTGTTTGACTAATTGTAGTTGTTCGAATAGATATTCAAATTGCGTCTGTGTCTTTATGCTGGTCATTTTACTCGGTGGTATGCAGAAACGTAGACCACACGAAAGAGCCTGTAGTTGAAGTTCATTCGTTCAACCGGAGACAAATTCTTCACAAACCTTTCTGGTTGTTTCGGAAAATTTGGTTCGACTAACTTGTGGACGATGGAATTCTGAAGCTTGTTGAATGTACAAAGTTTGGCTTCTCGTATGTTTTCCATGCACAAGTTGGTAAATTTGATTCGGCTAACGAGGCTCAGTTCGTCAAGAATTATTGATCATTCGATGCACGTGGTCTGAAGTGTCGTTAGATTTTCTTTATAATCATCAATCTGACATCGCATCAAACGTCTCAAATTCCTGGTAGAGGCACAGATTTTATTCCACTGTAAGCGTTTGCAAAACGTAATCGGATATCTGTTGCAACGGGCACGTTGTTCCAGAAAATGAATACGGACTCGAGTTGTGGCAATTTCACATCTCAATCTGACTAGGTCATCGAGAGACCTAATGGTTGATTTCGGGAGACGAGATCTGAGGAAATTTAAACAAGCTTTTCCCGAAATAATCTTGAAAAGAAAAGCCACAGTTGCAACATTGCACGATTCGTGTCCGGGACGATTTCGCTGCATCTGAACATGGTGCACACTGCACAACCATACTGTTTATATAAGTTCATGTAAAACCATAATTTTCGACAAATATAGGGGAAATTTCAATAGTCAAGTTACGTCACCATGATAAAGACACATGAACAAAGAGCTGTTTGTGCTGACACAATATTAGGTTTCCATGAATGTATGGCAATGGTTTGAACAAACCTCAAAAGCCTGGTATACTTTGCCACGTAAATGACCCGAAACGCAGTGCTTCGGTCAGCTGGATGTTGCGTCATCAGAAGATGACGAGCGACGGCCGACGGCCGACGGCCGACAGCCGACCACGGGATCTTATGGTTTCGAACGTTGTCATTATGCCTTTGATCTGACCCTGATTGCATCACAAAACGTTGTACCCAATTTGGAATATATTCAATCACTCGGTTACGTCACTGGCGCTCTGTTCGACCCACGTACGTTGCTCCGCAACTACACTGAAATTGGTAAATCAGATTCGATTTGGTGTACAGAGGTGGACGTTGTTTCACCGAGGGTGTGGGGATCTCAATCGTTTGATGAATAATTCTGAGGTCAGGTGCATAATATTTGTTTTGGGCAAGCGCTGATCCAAGTGGTCGTTTGAGCAAGCAATTGATGTCATCACGTATGAGTGGAAGACAAAGGGTGACTAGTAGTTTTTCTGCTGAACAATTCGTTTGTCTGATCAATTTAGGCTTGCTGTGCTTTTCGATAAACGCATCGGGATAAGCGTTTCTAGTCAAAGATTCTTTCAGCTGTCGTAGTTCGTTGTCAATCATGTCTTCTGTGCAGATATGTCGTGCTGTTTGAAATAGTGTTCGGACCAGACCACGTTCATATTCCACAGACACAAAGCTGTCAAATTGCAAGCATTGGCCTGTCCAGGTTTCTTTTCGGTAAACAGATCTGGCCATTGTTCCATCATTATTCCTAGTCATTTTAATGTCGAGGAAGTGCAGTGTATCTTCGATTTCTGTTTCCATCGTAAATCGTATATTCGGATGCAGGCGATCGAGTTTATCCATAATCCATGTTGTCTCTTCTAGACTTATTGTGATGACTAGAACATGATCAACGTATCGTTTGTAAAGTTGTGAACGTTCGAGGATTTTGCTCGCCTTTTCCTCAAGATGAGCCAAAAACATATGTGCCAGAATGGGGCTCAATGGAGTTCCGATTGCGACACCGTCAATTTGTCTGTAAGCCCAACCAAGGAAGGAGAACGATACGTTTGTTGTGCACAGTAGTAATTGTCGTACCAGAACTGATACTGGTATACCGATTTTCAGTTGGTTTTGCTCCACATGATCACACATGATACGTATGACCTCCCGACCGGGAACATTCATAAACAGTGATTGGAAATCAAATGAAGCCATGTGCTTCCCTTTCACATTGATCTGGTCCAAAAGCTTTACCACTTCGAAACTGTCTTTTTTATAGTGTGTCTGACCATTGATTTATGAACTGGCTCAAGCAATTTCTCCAGCCATTTGGCCAATTCGTGTTGTGGTGAATTTGTCATAGATAGTAGTAGTATTGGTCCAAGTGGCACTCCGGGTTTGTTTAGTTTCGGTAAACCATACAGTTGTGCACTTCGAGTTCCTTTTGGCTTCAGATGGTGAGCTGTGCTTTCATCGATGAAGTGTCCTTCTAGTAGAAACTGTACTGCTGTCGATATCTGTTGTTCTAGTTCTTTAGGGTCTTCACAGTCATCTTCGAGTACAAACTTGCTGGGATCATGAAGAACACTTTCCATCTTCTTCTCATAATCATTCCGATCGATCAGCACTGCTCCGGACCCCTTGTTAGGGCGTAAAACTAACAAATCAGGTCACAACTGTAGCTCTTCAATGGCGGATGTGAATGTGCTCAGGCGTGAAGAGTGACTTATGTTTGGACGATGTCATCCGGTACTGTCGTTCCAAGTCAACCAGCTTTGCTTTGAACCAAGTCTCCGCATCTTTTGAAGTTCGTTTGACTAATTGTAGTTGTTCGAATATATATTCAAATTGCGCCTGTGTCTTTATGCTGGTCATTTTACTCGGTGGTATGCAGAAACGTAGACCACACGAAAGAGCCTGTAGTTGAAGTTCATTCGTTTAACCGGAGACAAATTCTTCACAAACCTTTCTGGTTGTTTCGGAAAATTTGGTTCGACTAACTTGTGGACGATGGAATTCTGAAGCTTGTTGAATGTACAAAGTTTGGCTTCTCGTATGTTTTCCATGCACAAGTTGGTAAATTTGATTCGGCTAACGAGGCTCAGTTCATCAAGAATTATTGATCATTCGATGCACGTGGTCTGAAGTGTCGTTAGATTTTCTTTATAATCATCAATCTGACATCGCATCAAACGTCTCAAATTCCTGGTAGAGGCACAGATTTTATTCCTCCGTAAGCGTTTGCAAAACGTAATCGGATATCTGTTGCAACGGGCACGTTGTTTTAGAAAATGAATACGGACTCGAGTTGTGGCAATTTCACATCTCAATCTGACTAGGTCATCGAGAGACCTAATGGTTGATTTCGGGAGACGAGATCTGAGGAAATTTAAACATGCTTTTCCCGAAATAATCTTGAAAAGAAAAGCCACAGTTGCAACATTGCACGATTCGTGTCCGGGACGATTTCGCTGCATCTGAACATGGTGCACACTGCACAACCATACTGTTTATATAAGTTCATGTAAAACCATAATTTTCGACAAATATAGGGGAAATTTCAATAGTCAAGTTACGTCACCATGATAAAGACACATGAACAAAGAGCTGTTTGTGCTGACACAATATTAGGTTTCCATGAATGTATGGCAATGGTTTGAACAAACCTCAAAAGCCTGGTATTCTTTGCCACGTAAATGACCCGAAACGCAGTGCTTCGGTCAGCTGGATGTTGCGTCATCAGAAGATGACGAGCGACGGCCGACGGCCGACGGCCGACAGCCGACGACGGGATCTTATGGTTTCGAACGTTGTCATTATGCCTTTGATCTGACCCTGATTGCATCACAAAACGTTGTACTCAATTTGGAATATATTCAATCACTCGGTTACGTAACTGGCGCTCTGTTCGACCCACGTAGGTTGCTCCGCAACTACACTGAAATTGGTAAATCAGATTCGATTTGGTGTACAGAGGTGGACGTTGTTTCACCGAGGGTGTGGGGATCTCAATCGTCCGATGAATAATTCTGAGGTCAGGTGCATAATATTTGTTTTGGGCAAGCGCTGATCCAAGTGGTCGTTTGAGCAAGCAATTGATGTCATCACGTATGAATGGAAGACAAATGGTGACTAGTAGTTTTTCTGCTGAACAATTCGTTTGTCTGATCAATTTAGGCTTGCTGTGCTTTTCGATAAACGCATCGGGATAAGCGTTTCTAGTCAAAGATTCTTTCAGCTGTCGTAGTTCGTTGTCAATCATGTCTTCTGTGCAGATATGTCGTGCTGTTTGAAATAGTGTTCGGACCAGACCACGTTCATATTCCACAGACACAAAGCTGTCAAATTGCAAGCATTGGCCTGTCCAAGTTTCTTTTCGGTAAACAGATCTGGCCATTGTTCCATCATTATTCCTAGTCATTTTAATGTCGAGGAAGTGCAGTGTATCTTCGATTTCTGTTTCCATCGTAAATCGTATATTCGGATGCAGGCGATCGAGTTTATCCATAATCCATGTTGTCTCTTCTAGACTTATTGTGATGACTAGAACATGATCAACGTATCGTTTGTAAAGTTGTGAACGTTCGAGGATTTTGCTCGCCTTTTCCTCAAGATGAGCCAAAAACATATGTGCCAGAATGGGGCTCAATGGAGTTCGGATTGCGACACCGTCAATTTGTCTGTAAGCCCAACCAAGGAAGGAGAACGATACGTTTGTTGTGCACAGTAGTAATTGTCGTACCAGAACTGATACTGGTATACCGATTTTCAGTTGGTTTTGCTCCACATGATCACACATGATACGTATGACCTCCCGACCGGGAACATTCGTAAACAGTGATTGGAAATCAAATGAAGCCATGTGCTTCCCTTTCACATTGATCTGGTCCAAAAGCTTTACCACTTCGAAACTGTCTTTTTTATAGTGTGTCTAACCATTGATTTATGAACTGGCTCAAGCAATTTCTCCAGCCATTTGGCCAATTCGTGTTGTGGTGAATTTGTCATAGATAGTAGTAGTATTGGTCCAAGTGGCACTCCGGGTTTGTTTAGTTTCGGTAAACCATACAGTTGTGCACTTCGAGTTCCTTTTGGCTTCAGATGGTGAGCTGTGCTTTCATCGATGAAGTGTCCTTCTAGTAGAAACTGTACTGCGGTCGATATCTGTTGTTCTAGTTCTTTAGGGTCTTCACAGTCATCTTCGAGTACAAACTTGCTGGGATCATGAAGAACACTTTCCATCTTCTTCTCATAATCATTCCGATCGATGAGCACTGCTCCGGACCCCTTGTTAGGGCGTAAAACTAACAAATCAGGTCACAACTGTAGCTCTTCAATGGCGGATGTGAATGTGCTCAGGCGTGAAGAGTGACTTATGTTTGGACGATGTCATCCGGTACTGTCGTTCCAAGTCAACCAGCTTTGCTTTGAACCAAGTCTCCGCATCTTTTGAAGTTCGTTTGACTAATTGTAGTTGTTCGAATAGATATTCAAATTGCGCCTGTGTCTTTATGCTGGTCATTTTACTCGGTGGTATGCAGAAACGTAGACCACACGAAAGAGCCTGTAGTTGAAGTTCATTCGTTTAACCGGAGACAAATTCTTCACAAACCTTTCTGGTTGTTTCGGAAAATTTGGTTCGACTGACTTGTGGACGATGGAATTCTGAAGCTTGTTGAATGTACAAAGTTTGGCTTCTCGTATGTTTTCCATGCACAAGTTGGTAAATTTGATTCGGCTAACGAGGCTCAGTTCATCAAGAATTATTGATCATTCGATGCACGTGGTCTGAAGTGTCGTTAGATTTTCTTTATAATCATCAATCTGACATCGCATCAAACGTCTCAAATTCCTGGTAGAGGCACAGATTTTATTCCTCCGTAAGCGTTTGCAAAACGTAATCGGATATCTGTTGCAACGGGCACGTTGTTCCAGAAAATGAATACGGACTCGAGTTGTGGCAATTTCACATCTCAATCTGACTAGGTCATCGAGAGACCTAATGGTTGATTTCGGGAGACGAGATCTGAGGAAATTTAAACATGCTTTTCCCGAAATAATCTTGAAAAGAAAAGCCACAGTTGCAACATTGCACGATTCGTGTCCGGGACGATTTCGCTGCATCTGAACATGGTGCACACTGCACAACCATACTGTTTATATAAGTTCATGTAAAACCATAATTTTCGACAAATATAGGGGAAATTTCAATAGTCAAGTTACGTCACCATGATAAAGACACATGAACAAAGAGCTGTTTGTGCTGACACAATATTAGGCTTCCATGAATGTATGGGAATGGTTTGAACAAACCTCAAAAGCCTGGTATTCTTTGCCACGTAAATGACCCGAAACGCAGTGCTTCGGTCAGCTGGATGTTGCGTCATCAGAAGATGACGAGCGACGGCCGACGGCCGACGGCCGACAGCCGACCACGGGATCTTATGGTTTCGAACGTTGTCATTATGCCTTTGATCTGACCCTGATTGCATCACAAAACGTTGTACTCAATTTGGAATATATTCAATCACTCGGTTACGTAACTGGCGCTCTTTTCGACCCACGTACGTTGCTCCGCAACTACACTGAAATTGGTAAATCAGATTCGATTTGGTGTACATTGGTGGACGTTGTTTCACCGAGGGTGTGGGGATCTCAATCGTCCGATGAATAATTCTGAGGTCAGGTGCATAATATTTGTTTTGGGCAAGCGCTGATCCAAGTGGTCGTTTGAGCAAGCAATTGATGTCATCACGTATGAATGGAAGACAAAGGGTGACTAGTAGTTTTTCTGCTGAACAATTCGTTTGTCTGATCAATTTAGGCTTGCTGTGCTTTTCGATAAACGCATCGGGATAAGCGTTTCTAGTCAAAGATTCATTCAGCTGTCGTAGTTCGTTGTCAATCATGTCTTCCGTGCAGATATGTCGTGCTGTTTGAAATAGTGTTCGGACCAGACCACGTTCATATTCCACAGACACAAAGCTGTCAAATTGCAAGCATTGGCCTGTCCAAGTTTCTTTTCGGTAAACAGATCTGGCCATTGTTCCATCATTATTCCTAGTCATTTTAATGTCGAGGAAGTGCAGTGTATCTTCGATTTCTGTTTCCATCGTAAATCGTATATTCGGATGCAGGCGATCGAGTTTATCCATAATCCATGTTGTCTCTTCTAGACTTATTGTGATGACTAGAACATGATCAACGTATCGTTTGTAAAGTTGTGAACGTTCGAGGATTTTGCTCGCCTTTTCCTCAAGATGAGCCAAAAACATATGTGCCAGAATGGGGCTCAATGGAGTTCGGATTGCGACACCGTCAATTTGTCTGTAAGCCCAACCAAGGAAGGAGAACGATACGTTTGTTGTGCACAGTAGTAATTGTCGTACCAGAACTGATACTGGTATACCGATTTTCAGTTGGTTTTGCTCCACATGATCACACATGATACGTATGACCTCCCGACCGGGAACATTCGTAAACAGTGATTGGAAATCAAATGAAGCCATGTGCTTCCCTTTCACATTGATCTGGTCCAAAAGCTTTACCACTTCGAAACTGTCTTTTTTATAGTGTGTCTGACCATTGATTTATGAACTGGCTCAAGCAATTTCTCCAGCCATTTGGCCAATTCGTGTTGTGGTGAATTTGTCATAGATAGTAGTAGTATTGGTCCAAGTGGCACTCCGGGTTTGTTTAGTTTCGGTAAACCATACAGTTGTGCACTTCGAGTTCCTTTTGGCTTCAGATGGTGAGCTGTGCTTTCATCGATGAAGTGTCCTTCTAGTAGAAACTGTACTGCTGTCGATATCTGTTGTTCTAGTTCTTTAGGGTCTTCACAGTCATCTTCGAGTACAAACTTGCTGGGATCATGAAGAACACTTTCCATCTTCTTCTCATAATCATTCCGATCGATCAGCACTGCTCCGGACCCCTTGTTAGGGCGTTAAACTAACAAATCAGGTCACAACTGTAGCTCTTCAATGGCGGATGTGAATGTGCTCAGGCGTGAAGAGTGACTTATGTTTGGACGATGTCATCCGGTACTGTCGTTCCAAGTCAACCAGCTTTGCTTTGAACCAAGTCTCCGCATCTTTTGAAGTTTGTTTGACTAATTGTAGTTGTTCGAATAGATATTCAAATTGCGTCTGTGTCTTTATGCTGGTCATTTTACTCGGTGGTATGCAGAAACGTAGACCACACGAAAGAGCCTGTAGTTGAAGTTCATTCGTTCAACCGGAGACAAATTCTTCACAAACCTTTCTGGTTGTTTCGGAAAATTTGGTTCGACTAACTTGTGGACGATGGAATTCTGAAGCTTGTTGAATGTACAAAGTTTGGCTTCTCGTATGTTTTCCATGCACAAGTTGGTAAATTTGATTCGGCTAACGAGGCTCAGTTCGTCAAGAATTATTGATCATTCGATGCACGTGGTCTGAAGTGTCGTTAGATTTTCTTTATAATCATCAATCTGACATCGCATCAAACGTCTCAAATTCCTGGTAGAGGCACAGATTTTATTCCACTGTAAGCGTTTGCAAAACGTAATCGGATATCTGTTGCAACGGGCACGTTGTTCCAGAAAATGAATACGGACTCGAGTTGTGGCAATTTCACATCTCAATCTGACTAGGTCATCGAGAGACCTAATGGTTGATTTCGGGAGACGAGATCTGAGGAAATTTAAACAAGCTTTTCCCGAAATAATCTTGAAAAGAAAAGCCACAGTTGCAACATTGCACGATTCGTGTCCGGGACGATTTCGCTGCATCTGAACATGGTGCACACTGCACAACCATACTGTTTATATAAGTTCATGTAAAACCATAATTTTCGACAAATATAGGGGAAATTTCAATAGTCAAGTTACGTCACCATGATAAAGACACATGAACAAAGAGCTGTTTGTGCTGACACAATATTAGGTTTCCATGAATGTATGGCAATGGTTTGAACAAACCTCAAAAGCCTGGTATACTTTGCCACGTAAATGACCCGAAACGCAGTGCTTCGGTCAGCTGGATGTTGCGTCATCAGAAGATGACGAGCGACGGCCGACGGCCGACGGCCGACAGCCGACCACGGGATCTTATGGTTTCGAACGTTGTCATTATGCCTTTGATCTGACCCTGATTGCATCACAAAACGTTGTACCCAATTTGGAATATATTCAATCACTCGGTTACGTCACTGGCGCTCTGTTCGACCCACGTACGTTGCTCCGCAACTACACTGAAATTGGTAAATCAGATTCGATTTGGTGTACAGAGGTGGACGTTGTTTCACCGAGGGTGTGGGGATCTCAATCGTTTGATGAATAATTCTGAGGTCAGGTGCATAATATTTGTTTTGGGCAAGCGCTGATCCAAGTGGTCGTTTGAGCAAGCAATTGATGTCATCACGTATGAGTGGAAGACAAAGGGTGACTAGTAGTTTTTCTGCTGAACAATTCGTTTGTCTGATCAATTTAGGCTTGCTGTGCTTTTCGATAAACGCATCGGGATAAGCGTTTCTAGTCAAAGATTCTTTCAGCTGTCGTAGTTCGTTGTCAATCATGTCTTCTGTGCAGATATGTCGTGCTGTTTGAAATAGTGTTCGGACCAGACCACGTTCATATTCCACAGACACAAAGCTGTCAAATTGCAAGCATTGGCCTGTCCAGGTTTCTTTTCGGTAAACAGATCTGGCCATTGTTCCATCATTATTCCTAGTCATTTTAATGTCGAGGAAGTGCAGTGTATCTTCGATTTCTGTTTCCATCGTAAATCGTATATTCGGATGCAGGCGATCGAGTTTATCCATAATCCATGTTGTCTCTTCTAGACTTATTGTGATGACTAGAACATGATCAACGTATCGTTTGTAAAGTTGTGAACGTTCGAGGATTTTGCTCGCCTTTTCCTCAAGATGAGCCAAAAACATATGTGCCAGAATGGGGCTCAATGGAGTTCCGATTGCGACACCGTCAATTTGTCTGTAAGCCCAACCAAGGAAGGAGAACGATACGTTTGTTGTGCACAGTAGTAATTGTCGTACCAGAACTGATACTGGTATACCGATTTTCAGTTGGTTTTGCTCCACATGATCACACATGATACGTATGACCTCCCGACCGGGAACATTCATAAACAGTGATTGGAAATCAAATGAAGCCATGTGCTTCCCTTTCACATTGATCTGGTCCAAAAGCTTTACCACTTCGAAACTGTCTTTTTTATAGTGTGTCTGACCATTGATTTATGAACTGGCTCAAGCAATTTCTCCAGCCATTTGGCCAATTCGTGTTGTGGTGAATTTGTCATAGATAGTAGTAGTATTGGTCCAAGTGGCACTCCGGGTTTGTTTAGTTTCGGTAAACCATACAGTTGTGCACTTCGAGTTCCTTTTGGCTTCAGATGGTGAGCTGTGCTTTCATCGATGAAGTGTCCTTCTAGTAGAAACTGTACTGCTGTCGATATCTGTTGTTCTAGTTCTTTAGGGTCTTCACAGTCATCTTCGAGTACAAACTTGCTGGGATCATGAAGAACACTTTCCATCTTCTTCTCATAATCATTCCGATCGATCAGCACTGCTCCGGACCCCATGTTAGGGCGTAAAACTAACAAATCAGGTCACAACTGTAGCTCTTCAATGGCGGATGTGAATGTGCTCAGGCGTGAAGAGTGACTTATGTTTGGACGATGTCATCCGGTACTGTCGTTCCAAGTCAACCAGCTTTGCTTTGAACCAAGTCTCCGCATCTTTTGAAGTTCGTTTGACTAATTGTAGTTGTTCGAATATATATTCAAATTGCGTCTGTGTCTTTATGCTGGTCATTTTACTCGGTGGTATGCAGAAACGTAGACCACACGAAAGAGCCTGTAGTTGAAGTTCATTCGTTTAACCGGAGACAAATTCTTCACAAACCTTTCTGGTTGTTCCGGAAAATTTGGTTCGACTAACTTGTGGACGATGGAATTCTGAAGCTTGTTGAATGTACAAAGTTTGGCTTCTCGTATGTTTTCCATGCACAAGTTGGTAAATTTGATTCGGCTAACGAGGCTCAGTTCATCAAGAATTATTGATCATTCGATGCACGTGGTCTGAAGTGTCGTTAGATTTTCTTTATAATCATCAATCTGACATCGCATCAAACGTCTCAAATTCCTGGTAGAGGCACAGATTTTATTCCTCCGTAAGCGTTTGCAAAACGTAATCGGATATCTGTTGCAACGGGCACGTTGTTCCAGAAAATGAATACGGACTCGAGTTGTGGCAATTTCACATCTCAATCTGACTAGGTCATCGAGAGACCTAATGGTTGATTTCGGGAGACGAGATCTGAGGAAATTTAAACATGCTTTTCCCGAAATAATCTTGAAAAGAAAAGCCACAGTTGCAACATTGCACGATTCGTGTCCGGGACGATTTCGCTGCATCTGAACATGGTGCACACTGCACAACCATACTGTTTATATAAGTTCATGTAAAACCATAATTTTCGACAAATATAGGGGAAATTTCAATAGTCAAGTTACGTCACCATGATAAAGACACATGAACAAAGAGCTGTTTGTGCTGACACAATATTAGGTTTCCATGAATGTATGGCAATGGTTTGAACAAACCTCAAAAGCCTGGTATTCTTTGCCACGTAAATGACCCGAAACGCAGTGCTTCGGTCAGCTGGATGTTGCGTCATCAGAAGATGACGAGCGACGGCCGACGGCCGACGGCCGACAGCCGACGACGGGATCTTATGGTTTCGAACGTTGTCATTATGCCTTTGATCTGACCCTGATTGCATCACAAAACGTTGTACTCAATTTGGAATATATTCAATCACTCGGTTACGTAACTGGCGCTCTGTTCGACCCACGTAGGTTGCTCCGCAACTACACTGAAATTGGTAAATCAGATTCGATTTGGTGTACAGAGGTGGACGTTGTTTCACCGAGGGTGTGGGGATCTCAATCGTCCGATGAATAATTCTGAGGTCAGGTGCATAATATTTGTTTTGGGCAAGCGCTGATCCAAGTGGTCGTTTGAGCAAGCAATTGATGTCATCACGTATGAATGGAAGACAAATGGTGACTAGTAGTTTTTCTGCTGAACAATTCGTTTGTCTGATCAATTTAGGCTTGCTGTGCTTTTCGATAAACGCATCGGGATAAGCGTTTCTAGTCAAAGATTCTTTCAGCTGTCGTAGTTCGTTGTCAATCATGTCTTCTGTGCAGATATGTCGTGCTGTTTGAAATAGTGTTCGGACCAGACCACGTTCATATTCCACAGACACAAAGCTGTCAAATTGCAAGCATTGGCCTGTCCAAGTTTCTTTTCGGTAAACAGATCTGGCCATTGTTCCATCATTATTCCTAGTCATTTTAATGTCGAGGAAGTGCAGTGTATCTTCGATTTCTGTTTCCATCGTAAATCGTATATTCGGATGCAGGCGATCGAGTTTATCCATAATCCATGTTGTCTCTTCTAGACTTATTGTGATGACTAGAACATGATCAACGTATCGTTTGTAAAGTTGTGAACGTTCGAGGATTTTGCTCGCCTTTTCCTCAAGATGAGCCAAAAACATATGTGCCAGAATGGGGCTCAATGGAGTTCGGATTGCGACACCGTCAATTTGTCTGTAAGCCCAACCAAGGAAGGAGAACGATACGTTTGTTGTGCACAGTAGTAATTGTCGTACCAGAACTGATACTGGTATACCGATTTTCAGTTGGTTTTGCTCCACATGATCACACATGATACGTATGACCTCCCGACCGGGAACATTCGTAAACAGTGATTGGAAATCAAATGAAGCCATGTGCTTCCCTTTCACATTGATCTGGTCCAAAAGCTTTACCACTTCGAAACTGTCTTTTTTATAGTGTGTCTAACCATTGATTTATGAACTGGCTCAAGCAATTTCTCCAGCCATTTGGCCAATTCGTGTTGTGGTGAATTTGTCATAGATAGTAGTAGTATTGGTCCAAGTGGCACTCCGGGTTTGTTTAGTTTCGGTAAACCATACAGTTGTGCACTTCGAGTTCCTTTTGGCTTCAGATGGTGAGCTGTGCTTTCATCGATGAAGTGTCCTTCTAGTAGAAACTGTACTGCGGTCGATATCTGTTGTTCTAGTTCTTTAGGGTCTTCACAGTCATCTTCGAGTACAAACTTGCTGGGATCATGAAGAACACTTTCCATCTTCTTCTCATAATCATTCCGATCGATCAGCACTGCTCCGGACCCCTTGTTAGGGCGTAAAACTAACAAATCAGGTCACAACTGTAGCTCTTCAATGGCGGATGTGAATGTGCTCAGGCGTGAAGAGTGACTTATGTTTGGACGATGTCATCCGGTACTGTCGTTCCAAGTCAACCAGCTTTGCTTTGAACCAAGTCTCCGCATCTTTTGAAGTTCGTTTGACTAATTGTAGTTGTTCGAATAGATATTCAAATTGCGCCTGTGTCTTTATGCTGGTCATTTTACTCGGTGGTATGCAGAAACGTAGACCACACGAAAGAGCCTGTAGTTGAAGTTCATTCGTTTAACCGGAGACAAATTCTTCACAAACCTTTCTGGTTGTTTCGGAAAATTTGGTTCGACTGACTTGTGGACGATGGAATTCTGAAGCTTGTTGAATGTACAAAGTTTGGCTTCTCGTATGTTTTCCATGCACAAGTTGGTAAATTTGATTCGGCTAACGAGGCTCAGTTCATCAAGAATTATTGATCATTCGATGCACGTGGTCTGAAGTGTCGTTAGATTTTCTTTATAATCATCAATCTGACATCGCATCAAACGTCTCAAATTCCTGGTAGAGGCACAGATTTTATTCCTCCGTAAGCGTTTGCAAAACGTAATCGGATATCTGTTGCAACGGGCACGTTGTTCCAGAAAATGAATACGGACTCGAGTTGTGGCAATTTCACATCTCAATCTGACTAGGTCATCGAGAGACCTAATGGTTGATTTCGGGAGACGAGATCTGAGGAAATTTAAACATGCTTTTCCCGAAATAATCTTGAAAAGAAAAGCCACAGTTGCAACATTGCACGATTCGTGTCCGGGACGATTTCGCTGCATCTGAACATGGTGCACACTGCACAACCATACTGTTTATATAAGTTCATGTAAAACCATAATTTTCGACAAATATAGGGGAAATTTCAATAGTCAAGTTACGTCACCATGATAAAGACACATGAACAAAGAGCTGTTTGTGCTGACACAATATTAGGCTTCCATGAATGTATGGGAATGGTTTGAACAAACCTCAAAAGCCTGGTATTCTTTGCCACGTAAATGACCCGAAACGCAGTGCTTCGGTCAGCTGGATGTTGCGTCATCAGAAGATGACGAGCGACGGCCGACGGCCGACGGCCGACAGCCGACCACGGGATCTTATGGTTTCGAACGTTGTCATTATGCCTTTGATCTGACCCTGATTGCATCACAAAACGTTGTACTCAATTTGGAATATATTCAATCACTCGGTTACGTAACTGGCGCTCTTTTCGACCCACGTACGTTGCTCCGCAACTACACTGAAATTGGTAAATCAGATTCGATTTGGTGTACATTGGTGGACGTTGTTTCACCGAGGGTGTGGGGATCTCAATCGTCCGATGAATAATTCTGAGGTCAGGTGCATAATATTTGTTTTGGGCAAGCGCTGATCCAAGTGGTCGTTTGAGCAAGCAATTGATGTCATCACGTATGAATGGAAGACAAAGGGTGACTAGTAGTTTTTCTGCTGAACAATTCGTTTGTCTGATCAATTTAGGCTTGCTGTGCTTTTCGATAAACGCATCGGGATAAGCGTTTCTAGTCAAAGATTCTTTCAGCTGTCGTAGTTCGTTGTCAATCATGTCTTCTGTGCAGATATGTCGTGCTGTTTGAAATAGTGTTCGGACCAGACCACGTTCATATTCCACAGACACAAAGCTGTCAAATTGCAAGCATTGGCCTGTCCAAGTTTCTTTTCGGTAAACAGATCTGGCCATTGTTCCATCATTATTCCTAGTGATTTTAATGTCGAGGAAGTGCAGTGTATCTTCGATTTCTGTTTCCATCGTAAATCGTATATTCGGATGCAGGCGATCGAGTTTATCCATAATCCATGTTGTCTCTTCTAGACTTATTGTGATGACTAGAACATGATCAACGTATCGTTTGTAAAGTTGTGAACGTTCGAGGATTTTGCTCGCCTTTTCCTCAAGATGAGCCAAAAACATATGTGCCAGAATGGGGCTCAATGGAGTTCGGATTGCGACACCGTCAATTTGTCTGTAAGCCCAACCAAGGAAGGAGAACGATACGTTTGTTGTGCACAGTAGTAATTGTCGTACCAGAACTGATACTGGTATACCGATTTTCAGTTGGTTTTGCTCCACATGATCACACATGATACGTATGACCTCCCGACCGGGAACATTCGTAAACAGTGATTGGAAATCAAATGAAGCCATGTGCTTCCCTTTCACATTGATCTGGTCCAAAAGCTTTACCACTTCGAAACTGTCTTTTTTATAGTGTGTCTGACCATTGATTTATGAACTGGCTCAAGCAATTTCTCCAGCCATTTGGCCAATTCGTGTTGTGGTGAATTTGTCATAGATAGTAGTAGTATTGGTCCAAGTGGCACTCCGGGTTTGTTTAGTTTCGGTAAACCATACAGTTGTGCACTTCGAGTTCCTTTTGGCTTCAGATGGTGAGCTGTGCTTTCATCGATGAAGTGTCCTTCTAGTAGAAACTGTACTGCTGTCGATATCTGTTGTTCTAGTTCTTTAGGGTCTTCACAGTCATCTTCGAGTACAAACTTGCTGGGATCATGAAGAACACTTTCCATCTTCTTCTCATAATCATTCCGATCGATGAGCACTGCTCCGGACCCCTTGTTAGGGCGTAAAACTAACAAATCAGGTCACAACTGTAGCTCTTCAATGGCGGATGTGAATGTGCTCAGGCGTGAAGAGTGACTTATGTTTGGACGATGTCATCCGGTACTGTCGTTCCAAGTCAACCAGCTTTGCTTTGAACCAAGTCTCCGCATCTTTTGAAGTTCGTTTGACTAATTGTAGTTGTTCGAATAGATATTCAAATTGCGCCTGTGTCTTTATGCTGGTCATTTTACTCGGTGGTATGCAGAAACGTAGACCACACGAAAGAGCTTGTAGTTGAAGTTCATTCGTTTAACCGGAGACAAATTCTTCACAAACCTTTCTGGTTGTTTCGAAAAATTTGGTTCGACTGACTTGTGGACGATGGAATTCTGAAGCTTGTTGAATGTACAAAGTTTGGCTTCTCGTATGTTTTCCATGAACAAGTTGGTAAATTTGATTCGGCTAACGAGGCTCAGTTCGTCAAGAATTATTGATCATTCGATGCACGTGGTCTGAAGTGTCGTTAGATTTTCTTTATAATCATCAATCTGACATCGCATCAAACGTCTCAAATTCCTGGTAGAGGCACAGATTTTATTCCTCCGTAAGCGTTTGCAAAACGTAATCGGATATCTGTTGCAACGGGCACGTTGTTCCAGAAAATGAATACGGACTCGAGTTGTGGCAATTTCACATCTCAATCTGACTAGGTCATCGAGAGACCTAATGGTTGATTTCGGGAGACGAGATCTGAGGAAATTTAAACATGCTTTTCCCGAAATAGTCTTGAAAAGAAAAGCCACAGTTGCAACATTGCACGATTCGTGTCCGGGACGATTTCGCTGCATCTGAACATGGTGCACACTGCACAACCATACTGCTTACATAAGTTCATGTAAAACCATAATTTTCGACAAATATAGGGGAAATTTCAATAGTCAAGTTACGTTACCATGATAAAGACACATGAACAAAGAGCTGTTTGTGCTGACACAATATTAGGTTTCCATGAATGTATGGGAATGGTTTGAACAAACCTCAAAAGCCTAGTATTTTTTGCCACGTAAATGACCCGAAACGCAGTGCTTCGGTCAGCTGGATGTTGCGTCATCAGAAGATGACGAGCGACGGCCGACGGCCGACGGCCGACAGCCGACGACGGGATCTTATGGTTTCGAACGTTGTCATTATGCCTTTGATCTGACCCTGATTGCATCACAAAACGTTGTACCCAATTTGGAATATATTCAATCACTCGGTTACGTAACTGGCGCTCTGTTCGACCCACGTACGTTGCTCCGCAACTACACTGAAATTGGTAAATCAGATTCGATTTGGTGTACAGAGGTGGACGTTGTTTCACCGAGGGTGTGGGGATCTCAATCGTTCGATGAATAATTCTGAGGTCAGGTGCATAATATTTGTTTTGGGCAAGCGCTGATCCAAGTGGTCGTTTGAGCAAGCAATTGATGTCATCACGTATGAATGGAAGACAAAGGGTGACTAGTAGTTTTTCTGCTGAACAATTCGTTTGTCTGATCAATTTAGGCTTGCTGTGCTTTTCGATAAACGCATCGGGATAAGCGTTTCTAGTCAAAGATTCTTTCAGCTGTCGTAGTTCGTTGTCAATCATGTCTTCTGTGCAGATATGTCGTGCTGTTTGAAATAGTGTTCGGACCAGACCACGTTCATATTCCACAAACACAAAGCTGTCAAATTGCAAGCATTGGCCTGTCCAAGTTTCTTTTCGGTAAACAGATCTGGCCATTGTTCCATCATTATTCCTAGTGATTTTATTGTCGAGGAAGTGCAGTGTATCTTCGATTTCTGTTTCCATCGTAAATCGTATATTCGGATGCAGGCGATCGAGTTTATCCATAATCCATGTTGTCTCTTCTAGACTTATTGTGATGACTAGAACATGATCAACGTATCGTTTGTAAAGTTGTGAACGTTCGAGGATTTTGCTCGCCTTTTCCTCAAGATGAGCCAAAAACATATGTGCCAGAATGGGGCTCAATGGAGTTCGGATTGCGACACCGTCAATTTGTCTGTAAGCCCAACCAAGGAAGGAGAACTGTACGTTTGTTGTGCACAGTAGTAATTGTCGTACCAGAACTGATACTGGTATACCGATTTTCAGTTGGTTTTGCTCCACATGATCACACATGATACGTATGACCTCCCGACCGGGAACATTCGTAAACAGTGATTGGAAATCAAATGAAGCCATGTGCTTCCCTTTCACATTGATCTGGTCCAAAAGCTTTACCACTTCGAAACTGTCTTTTTTATAGTGTGTCTGACCATTGATTTATGAACTGGCTCAAGCAATTTCTCCAGCCATTTGGCCAATTCGTGTTGTGGTGAATTTGTCATAGATAGTAGTAGTATTGGTCCAAGTGGCACTCCGGGTTTGTTTAGTTTCGGTAAACCATACAGTTGTGCACTTCGAGTTCCTTTTGGCTTCAGATGGTGAGCTGTGCTTTCATCGATGAAGTGTCCTTCTAGTAGAAACTGTACTGCTGTCAATATCTGTTGTTCTAGTTCTTTAGGGTCTTCACAGTCATCTTCGAGTACAAACTTGCTGGGATCATGAAAAACACTTTCCATCTTCTTCTCATAATCATTCCGATCGATGAGCACTGCTCCGGACCCCTTGTTAGGGCGTAAAACTAACAAATCAGGTCACAACTGTAGCTCTTCAATGGCGGATGTGAATGTGCTCAGGCGTGAAGAGTGACTTATGTTTGGACGATGTCATCCGGTACTGTCGTTCCAAGTCAACCAGCTTTGCTTTGAACCAAGTCTCCGCATCTTTTGAAGTTCGTTTGACTAATTGTAGTTGTTCGAATAGATATTCAAATTGCGCCTGTGTCTTTATGCTGGTCATTTTACTCGGTGGTATGCAGAAACGTAGACCACACGAAAGAGCTTGTAGTTGAAGTTCATTCGTTCAACCGGAGACAAATTCTTCACAAACCTTTCTGGTTGTTTCGGAAAATTTGGTTCGACTAACTTGTGGACGATGGAATTCTGAAGCTTGTTGAATGTACAAAGTTTGGCTTCTCGTATGTTTTCCATGCACAAGTTGGTAAATTTGATTCGGCTAACGAGGCTCGGTTCGTCAAGAATTATTGATCATTCGATGCACGTGGTCTGAAGTGTCGTTAGATTTTCTTTATAATCATCAATTTGATATCGCATCAAACGTCTCAAATTCCTGGTAGAGGCACAGATTTTATTCCTCCGTAAGCGTTTGCAAAACGTAATCGGATATCTGTTGCAACGGGCACGTTGTTCCAGAAAATGAATACGGACTCGAGCTGTGGCAATTTCACATCTCAATCTGACTAGGTCATCGAGAGACCTAATGGTTGATTTCGGGAGACGAGATCTGAGGAAATTTAAACATGCTTTTCCCGAAATAATCTTGAAAAGAAAAGCCACAGTTGCAACATTGCACGATTCGTGTCCGGGACGATTTCGCTGCATCTGAACATGGTGCACACTGCACAACCATACTGTTTATATAAGTTCATGTAAAACCATAATTTTCGACAAATATAGGGGAAATTTCAATAGTCAAGTTACGTCACCATGATAAAGACACATGAACAAAGAGCTGTTTGTGCTGACACAATATTAAGTTTCCATGAATGTATGGGAATGGTTTGAACAAACCTCAAAAGCCTGGTATTCTTTGCCACGTAAATGACCCGAAACGCAGTGCTTCGGTCAGCTGGATGTTGCGTCATCAGAAGATGACGAGCGACGGCCGACGGCCGACGGCCGACAGCCGACGACGGGATCTTATGGTTTCGAACGTTGTCATTATGCCTTTGATCTGACCCTGATTGCATCACAAAACGTTGTACCCAATTTGGAATATATTCAATCACTCGGTTACGTAACTGGCGCTCTGTTCGACCCACGTACGTTGCTTCGCAACTACACTGAAATTGGTAAATCAGATTCGATTTGGTGTACAGAGGTGGACGTTGTTTCACCGAGGGTGTGGGGATCTCAATCGTTCGATGAATAATTCTGAGGTCAGGTGCATAATATTTGTTCTGGGCAAGCGCTGATCCAAGTGGTCGTTTGAGCAAGCAATTGATGTCATCACGTATGAATGGAAGACAAATGGTGACTTGTAGTTTTTCTGCTGAACAATTCGTTTGTCTGATCAATTTAGGCTTGCTGTGCTTTTCGATAAACGCATCGGGATAAGCGTTTCTAGTCAAAGATTCTTTCAGCTGTCGTAGTTCGTTGTCAATCATGTCTTCTGTGCAGATATGTCGTGCTGTTTGAAATAGTGTTCGGACCAGACCACGTTCATATTCCACAGACACAAAGCTGTCAAATTGCAAGCATTGGCCTGTCCAGGTTTCTTTTCGGTAAACAGATCTGGCCATTGTTCCATCATTATTCCCAGTCATTTTAATGTCGAGGAAGTGCAGTGTGTCTTCGATTTCTGTTTCCATCGTAAATCGTATATTCGGATGCAGGCGATCGAGTTTATCCATAATCCATGTTGTCTCTTCTAGACTTATTGTGATGACTAGAACATGATCAACGTATCGTTTGTAAAGTTGTGAACGTTCGAGGATTTTGCTCGCCTTTTCCTCAAGATGAGCCAAAAACATATGTGCCAGAATGGGGCTCAATGGAGTTCGGATTGCGACACCGTCAATTTGTCTGTAAGCCCAACCAAGGAAGGAGAACTGTACGTTTGTTGTGCACAGTAGTAATTGTCGTACCAGAACTGATACTGGTATACCGATTTTCAGTTGGTTTTGCTCCACATGATCACACATGATACGTATGACCTCCCGACCGGGAACATTCGTAAACAGTGATTGGAAATCAAATGAAGCCATGTGCTTCCCTTTCACATTGATCTGGTCCAAAAGCTTTACCACTTCGAAACTGTCTTTTTTATAGTGTGTCTGACCATTGATTTATGAACTGGCTCAAGCAATTTCTCCAGCCATTTGGCCAATTCGTGTTGTGGTGAATTTGTCATAGATAGTAGTAGTATTGGTCCAAGTGGCACTCCGGGTTTGTTTAGTTTCGGTAAACCATACAGTTGTGCACTTCGAGTTCCTTTTGGCTTCAGATGGTGAGCTGTGCTTTCATCGATGAAGTGTCCTTCTAGTAGAAACTGTACTGCTGTCAATATCTGTTGTTCTAGTTCTTTAGGGTCTTCACAGTCATCTTCGAGTACAAACTTGCTGGGATCATGAAAAACACTTTCCATCTTCTTCTCATAATCATTCCGATCGATGAGCACTGCTCCGGACCCCTTGTTAGGGCGTAAAACTAACAAATCAGGTCACAACTGTAGCTCTTCAATGGCGGATGTGAATGTGCTCAGGCGTGAAGAGTGACTTATGTTTGGACGATGTCATCCGGTACTGTCGTTCCAAGTCAACCAGCTTTGCTTTGAACCAAGTCTCCGCATCTTTTGAAGTTCGTTTGACTAATTGTAGTTGTTCGAATAGATATTCAAATTGCGCCTGTGTCTTTATGCTGGTCATTTTACTCGGTGGTATGCAGAAACGTAGACCACACGAAAGAGCTTGTAGTTGAAGTTCATTCGTTCAACCGGAGACAAATTCTTCACAAACCTTTCTGGTTGTTTCGGAAAATTTGGTTCGACTAACTTGTGGACGATGGAATTCTGAAGCTTGTTGAATGTACAAAGTTTGGCTTCTCGTATGTTTTCCATGCACAAGTTGGTAAATTTGATTCGGCTAACGAGGCTCGGTTCGTCAAGAATTATTGATCATTCGATGCACGTGGTCTGAAGTGTCGTTAGATTTTCTTTATAATCATCAATTTGATATCGCATCAAACGTCTCAAATTCCTGGTAGAGGCACAGATTTTATTCCTCCGTAAGCGTTTGCAAAACGTAATCGGATATCTGTTGCAACGGGCACGTTGTTCCAGAAAATGAATACGGACTCGAGCTGTGGCAATTTCACATCTCAATCTGACTAGGTCATCGAGAGACCTAATGGTTGATTTCGGGAGACGAGATCTGAGGAAATTTAAACATGCTTTTCCCGAAATAATCTTGAAAAGAAAAGCCACAGTTGCAACATTGCACGATTCGTGTCCGGGACGATTTCGCTGCATCTGAACATGGTGCACACTGCACAACCATACTGTTTATATAAGTTCATGTAAAACCATAATTTTCGACAAATATAGGGGAAATTTCAATAGTCAAGTTACGTCACCATGATAAAGACACATGAACAAAGAGCTGTTTGTGCTGACACAATATTAAGTTTCCATGAATGTATGGGAATGGTTTGAACAAACCTCAAAAGCCTGGTATTCTTTGCCACGTAAATGACCCGAAACGCAGTGCTTCGGTCAGCTGGATGTTGCGTCATCAGAAGATGACGAGCGACGGCCGACGGCCGACGGCCGACAGCCGACGACGGGATCTTATGGTTTCGAACGTTGTCATTATGCCTTTGATCTGACCCTGATTGCATCACAAAACGTTGTACCCAATTTGGAATATATTCAATCACTCGGTTACGTAACTGGCGCTCTGTTCGACCCACGTACGTTGCTCCGCAACTACACTGAAATTGGTAAATCAGATTCGATTTGGTGTACAGAGGTGGACGTTGTTTCACCGAGGGTGTGGGGATCTCAATCGTTCGATGAATAATTCTGAGGTCAGGTGCATAATATTTGTTTTGGGCAAGCGCTGATCCAAGTGGTCGTTTGAGCAAGCAATTGATGTCATCACGTATGAATGGAAGACAAATGGTGACTAGTAGTTTTTCTGCTGAACAATTCGTTTGTCTGATCAATTTAGGCTTGCTGTGCTTTTCGATAAACGCATCGGGATAAGCGTTTCTAGTCAAAGATTCTTTCAGCTGTCGTAGTTCGTTGTCAATCATGTCTTCTGTGCAGATATGTCGTGCTGTTTGAAATAGTGTTCGGACCAGACCACGTTCATATTCCACAGACACAAAGCTGTCAAATTGCAAGCATTGGCCTGTCCAGGTTTCTTTTCGGTAAACAGATCTGGCCATTGTTCCATCATTATTCCTAGTCATTTTAATGTCGAGGAAGTGCAGTGTATCTTCGATTTCTGTTTCCATCGTAAATCGTATATTCGGATGCAGGCGATCGAGTTTATCCATAATCCATGTTGTCTCTTCTAGACTTATTGTGATGACTAGAACATGATCAACGTATCGTTTGTAAAGTTGTGAACGTTCGAGGATTTTGCTCGCCTTTTCCTCAAGATGAGCCAAAAACATATGTGCCAGAATGGGGCTCAATGGAGTTCCGATTGCGACACCGTCAATTTGTCTGTAAGCCCAACCAAGGAAGGAGAACGATACGTTTGTTGTGCACAGTAGTAATTGTCGTACCAGAACTGATACTGGTATACCGATTTTCAGTTGGTTTTGCTCCACATGATCACACATGATACGTATGACCTCCCGACCGGGAACATTCGTAAACAGTGATTGGAAATCAAATGAAGCCATGTGCTTCCCTTTCACATTGATCTGGTCCAAAAGCTTTACCACTTCGAAACTGTCTTTTTTATAGTGTGTCTGACCATTGATTTATGAACTGGCTCAAGCAATTTCTCCAGCCATTTGGCCAATTCGTGTTGTGGTGAATTTGTCATAGATAGTAGTAGTATTGGTCCAAGTGGCACTCCGGGTTTGTTAAGTTTCGGTAAACCATACAGTTGTGCACTTCGAGTTCCTTTTGGCTTCAGATGGTGAGCTGTGCTTTCATCGATGAAGTGTCCTTCTAGTAGAAACTGTACTGCTGTCGATATCTGTTGTTCTAGTTCTTTAGGGTCTTCACAGTCATCTTCGAGTACAAACTTGCTGGGATCATGAAGAACACTTTCCATCTTCTTCTCATAATCATTCCGATCGATGAGCACTGCTCCGGACCCCTTGTTAGGGCGTAAAACTAACAAATCAGGTCACAACTGTAGCTCTTCAATGGCGGATGTGAATGTGCTCAGGCGTGAAGAGTGACTTATGTTTGGACGATGTCATCCGGTACTGTCGTTCCAAGTCAACCAGCTTTGCTTTGAACCAAGTCTCCGCATCTTTTGAAGTTCGTTTGACTAATTGTAGTTGTTCGAATAGATATTCAAATTGCGCCTGTGTCTTTATGCTGGTCATTTTACTCGGTGGTATGCAGAAACGTAGACCACACGAAAGAGCCTGTAGTTGAAGTTCATTCGTTTAACCGGAGACAAATTCTTCACAAACCTTTCTGGTTGTTTCGGAAAATTTGGTTCGACTAACTTGTGGACGATGGAATTCTGAAGCTTGTTGAATGTACAAAGTTTGGCTTCTCGTATGTTTTCCATGCACAAGTTGGTAAATTTGATTCGGCTAACGAGGCTCAGTTCATCAAGAATTATTGATCATTCGATGCACGTGGTCTGAAGTGTCGTTAGATTTTCTTTATAATCATCAATCTGACATCGCATCAAACGTCTCAAATTCCTGGTAGAGGCACAGATTTTATTCCTCCGTAAGCGTTTGCAAAACGTAATCGGATATCTGTTGCAACGGGCACGTTGTTCCAGAAAATGAATACGGACTTGAGTTGTGGCAATTTCACATCTCAATCTGACTAGGTCATTGAGAGACCAAATGATTGATTTCGGGAGACGAGATCTGAGGAAATTTAAACATGCTTTTCCCGAAATAATCTTGAAAAGAAAAGCCACAGTTGCAACATTGCACGATTCGTGTCCGGGACGATTTCGCTGCATCTGAACATGGTGCACACTGCACAACCATACTGTTTATATAAGTTCATGTAAAACCATAATTTTCGACAAATATAGGGGAAATTTCAATAGTCAAGTTACGTCACCATGATAAAGACACATGAACAAAGAGCTGTTTGTGCTGACACAATATTAGGTTTCCATGAATGTATGGCAATGGTTGGAACAAACCTCAAAAGCCTGGTATTCTTTGCCACGTAAATGACCCGAAACGCAGTGCTTCGGTCAGCTGGATGTTGCGTCATCAGAAGATGACGAGCGACGGCCGACAGCCGACGACGGGATCTTATGGTTTCGAACGTTGTCATTATGCCTTTGATCTGACCCTGATTGCATCACAAAACGTTGTACCCAATTTGGAATATATTCAATCACTCGGTTACGTAACTGGCGCTCTGTTCGACCCACGTAGGTTGCTCCGCAACTACACTGAAATTGGTAAATCAGATTCGATTTGGTGTACAGAGGTGGACGTTGTTTCACCGAGGGTGTGGGGATCTCAATCGTTCGATGAATAATTCTGAGGTCAGGTGCATAATATTTGTTTTGGGCAAGCGCTGATCCAAGTGGTCGTTTGAGCAAGCAATTGATGTCATCACGTATGAATGGAAGACAAATGGTGACTAGTAGTTTTTCTGCTGAACAATTCGTTTGTCTGATCAATTTAGGCTTGCTGTGCTTTTCGATAAACGCATCGGGATAAGCGTTTCTAGTCAAAGATTCTTTCAGCTGTCGTAGTTCGTTGTCAATCATGTCTTCTGTGCAGATATGTCGTGCTGTTTGAAATAGTGTTCGGACCAGACCACGTTCATATTCCACAGACACAAAGCTGTCAAATTGCAAGCATTGGCCTGTCCAGGTTTCTTTTCGGTAAACAGATCTGGCCATTGTTCCATCATTATTCCTAGTCATTTTAATGTCGAGGAAGTGCAGTGTATCTTCGATTTCTGTTTCCATCGTAAATCGTATATTCGGATGCAGGCGATCGAGTTTATCCATAATCCATGTTGTCTCTTCTAGACTTATTGTGATGACTAGAACATGATCAACGTATCGTTTGTAAAGTTGTGAACGTTCGAGGATTTTGCTCGCCTTTTCCTCAAGATGAGCCAAAAACATATGTGCCAGAATGGGGCTCAATGGAGTTCGGATTGCGACACCGTCAATTTGTCTGTAAGCCCAACCAAGGAAGGAGAACGATACGTTTGTTGTGCACAGTAGTAATTGTCGTACCAGAACTGATACTGGTATACCGATTTTCAGTTGGTTTTGCTCCACATGATCACACATGATACGTATGACCTCCCGACCGGGAACATTCGTAAACAGTGATTGGAAATCAAATGAAGCCATGTGCTTCCCTTTCACATTGATCTGGTCCAAAAGCTTTACCACTTCGAAACTGTCTTTTTTATAGTGTGTCTGACCATTGATTTATGAACTGGCTCAAGCAATTTCTCCAGCCATTTGGCCAATTCGTGTTGTGGTGAATTTGTCATAGATAGTAGTAGTATTGGTCCAAGTGGCACTCCGGGTTTGTTTAGTTTCGATAAACCATACAGTTGTGCACTTCGAGTTCCTTTTGGCTTCAGATGGTGAGCTGTGCTTTCATCGATGAAGTGTCCTTCTAGTAGAAACTGTACTGCTGTCGATATCTGTTGTTCTAGTTCTTTAGGGTCTTCACAGTCATCTTCGAGTACAAACTTGCTGGGATCATGAAGAACACTTTCCATCTTCTTCTCATAATCATTCCGATCGATGAGCACTGCTCCGGACCCCTTGTTAGGGCGTAAAACTAACAAATCAGGTCACAACTGTAGCTCTTCAATGGCGGATGTGAATGTGCTCAGGCGTGAAGAGTGACTTATGTTTGGACGATGTCATCCGGTACTGTCGTTCCAAGTCAACCAGCTTTGCTTTGAACCAAGTCTCCGCATCTTTTGAAGTTCGTTTGACTAATTGTAGTTGTTCGAATAGATATTCAAATTGCGCCTGTGTCTTTATGCTGGTCATTTTACTCGGTGGTATGCAGAAACGTAGACCACACGAAAGAGCTTGTAGTTGAAGTTCATTCGTTCAACCGGAGACAAATTCTTCACAAACCTTTCTGGTTGTTTCGGAAAATTTGGTTCGACTAACTTGTGGACGATGGAATTCTGAAGCTTGTTGAATGTACAAAGTTTGGCTTCTCGTATGTTTTCCATGCACAAGTTGGTAAATTTGATTCGGCTAACGAGGCTCGGTTCGTCAAGAATTATTGATCATTCGATGCACGTGGTCTGAAGTGTCGTTAGATTTTCTTTATAATCATCAATTTGATATCGCATCAAACGTCTCAAATTCCTGGTAGAGGCACAGATTTTATTCCTCCGTAAGCGTTTGCAAAACGTAATCGGATATCTGTTGCAACGGGCACGTTGTTCCAGAAAATGAATACGGACTCGAGCTGTGGCAATTTCACATCTCAATCTGACTAGGTCATCGAGAGACCTAATGGTTGATTTCGGGAGACGAGATCTGAGGAAATTTAAACATGCTTTTCCCGAAATAATCTTGAAAAGAAAAGCCACAGTTGCAACATTGCACGATTCGTGTCCGGGACGATTTCGCTGCATCTGAACATGGTGCACACTGCACAACCATACTGTTTATATAAGTTCATGTAAAACCATAATTTTCGACAAATATAGGGGAAATTTCAATAGTCAAGTTACGTCACCATGATAAAGACACATGAACAAAGAGCTGTTTGTGCTAACACAATATTAGGTTTCCATGAATGTATGGCAATGGTTTGAACAAACCTCAAAAGCCTGGTATTCTTTGCCACGTAAATGACCCGAAACGCAGTGCTTCGGTCAGCTGGATGTTGCGTCATCAGAAGATGACGAGCGACGGCCGACAGCCGACGACGGGATCTTATGGTTTCGAACGTTGTCATTATGCCTTTGATCTGACCCTGATTGCATCACAAAACGTTGTACCCAATTTGGAATATATTCAATCAATCGGTTACGTAACTGGCGCTCTGTTCGACCCACGTACGTTGCTCCGCAACTACACTGAAATTGGTAAATCAGATTCGATTTGGTGTACAGAGGTGGACGTTGTTTCACCGAGGGTGTGGGGATCTCAATCGTTCGATGAATAATTCTGAGGTCAGGTGCATAATATTTGTTTTGGGCAAGCGCTGATCCAAGTGGTCGTTTGAGCAAGCAATTGATGTCATCACGTATGAATGGAAGACAAAGGGTGACTAGTAGTTTTTCTGCTGAACAATTCGTTTGTCTGATCAATTTAGGCTTGCTGTGCTTTTCGATAAACGCATCGGGATAAGCGTTTCTAGTCAAAGATTCTTTCAGCTGTCGTAGTTCGTTGTCAATCATGTCTTCTGTGCAGATATGTCGTGCTGTTTGAAATAGTGTTCGGACCAGACCACGTTCATATTCCACAGACACAAAGCTGTCAAATTGCAAGCATTGGCCTGTCCAAGTTTCTTTTCGGTAAACAGATCTGGCCATTGTTCCATCATTATTCCTAGTGATTTTAATGTCGAGGAAGTGCAGTGTATCTTCGATTTCTGTTTCCATCGTAAATCGTATATTCGGATGCAGGCGATCGAGTTTATCCATAATCCATGTTGTCTCTTCTAGACTTATTGTGATGACTAGAACATGATCAACGTATCGTTTGTAAAGTTGTGAACGTTCGAGGATTTTG